CTTTGAGAGAGAGAGAGCACAAGTGGGGGAGGAACAAGAGAGGGAGAGAGAGAGAATCCCAAGCAGGTTCTGCACTGTCGGCACAGAGCCTGATGCGGGGCTCGAACCCATGAACTGTGAGATCATGACCTGAGCTGAAATCAAGAGTTGGATGCTTAACTGTCTGAGCCACCCAGGTGCTCCTGGAGAATGAATCTCCAGATGACACTGTGACCATTCTGCTTCCTTTCTCCATCAGGTTTCCAAAATTAACCCCTCAGCTCTAGAGTTTTCAAACTAATTTCTTAGAAATCTCACTACTAGATAAAAAAGGAGTCGATCAGCCTTTGATAAGAGGCAGCTTCCTGGCTCTGAGTCCTGAGGATCCCCGAGGGTATGGTACCTGAACAAACCGGTGGGGGTGGGGAGTGGGAGAAGGCCCAGAGCTTGCAACAGATTTTTATGACTCAAACACTGGGTAAAGACCCTGGGAGGAGGGAAGAATTTTGGAGCCTGACAGTCTTGACAAAAGAGCCCTCATAATAACCCTCATAAACCCCTCATAAAGGTAGTCATAGAAGCAAATGAAATAGCCTATGTAGAAACTGTAAAATGTTGTAAAATTTATTATTATAAAAAAACAAGGCTATGCATGATAGAGCAAAATAGAGTGCCTGGGTGGCTCAGTAGGTTAAGCGTCTGACTCAATTTCCGCTCAGGTCATGATCCCACAATTCGTGGGAGAGAGCCTCATTTCGGGCTCCGTGCTGACGGTGCAGAGTCTGCTTGGGATTCTCTCTCTCTGTGCCCCTCTCCCTGCTCATGCTCTCTTTCTCAAAATAAATAAATAAACTTAAAAAAAAAAAAAAGACAAAATACTCAGACAAACCTTGGCAAATGAGATAAAATTTTCTACCTTACTGGTTTCATACAAAAAAGGGGGCACCTGGCTGGCTCAGTCGGTAGAGCATGTGACTCTTGATCTCAAGAGTTGTGAGTTCAAGTCCCATGGTGGGTATAGAGATTACTTAAAAATAAAATCTTAAGGGGCGCCCGGGTGGCTCAGTCACTTAAGCGTCCAACTTCGGCTCGCGTCATGATCTCACGACTCGTGACTTCAAGCCCGGCGTTGGGCTCTGTGCTGACAGCTCAGTCTGCTAGGGATCCTGCTTCGGATTCCGTGTCTCCCTCTCTCTCTCTGCCCCTCCCCTGTTCACGCTCTGTCTCTCTCAAAGATGAATAAACTTAAAAAAAATTTTTAAATAAAAACAAAATCTTAACAAGAAAGAAAGGAGGACATCATTAGTAAACAGTTCCAAATCAGAAAATGCAGAACTGCCCCTTCTCGAGGAAGAGCTTAGAATATAGCTGAAGGTCAGAAGATCATTCAAGAAGACTGGTTATCCCTCACGTAGTAGAAAGTACCCAGTTGACTCAGGCTGAATCTAAACTAAGACAGTATATTCCAAAGTCCCCACACTCCACTATCTGTGTAGCCCAGAGAAAGAACAATACACAGTTCACTATTCTAAGACTATTCAGCTACAATGACAAAATGAACAACGCACAAGCACTTGCAGCTGCCTTTGAATAATGAAGGTTTAAGGAGAGTAGGTGTGCTTTCCCTCTTTTTTTTTTTTTTTT